GGGTGACGGAGTGAGACTCTAACTCAAAAAAAAAAAGAAGGTCACCACCAACAGTTATAACTCCACAATGAGTTGTTCAACAAGCCCTATGGTGCCAACAGCTTCCCTCAGAAGCTTCTTTTATCAAAGTCAAATTGGACAATTAAGCCAAAGAGTAAGCCGCATGTGGAATGACATCAAAATAGTGCACAACAAAAGGAATTATCTCGGGAAACTCATATTCTGTGTTGCACAAATAGTCTCGAATGTCACCGACTTGGAACCCGCCAGGACGAATCCTGCAATTTCAGATCTAGATTCACTGGTTACCATAGGCAAAACCCGAGTCACGATTGAATACCATCCTTTCATTGCACCGTGATGACATCTCAATTTGTACCAAGTTGGCTTAGAGACGACACCAAAACGATGCTCATGGATTTGGAGGCTCCTGCCCGCGGTCTCAGAGCTGGACGAGGACTTACTTGTTAAGGATTTTGGCTCTCTTAGCACTTGAAAAATTCTCCAGTTGCAAGGACTCTTGGGTAAGGAAAGCCACAGCCAGGTGAAAGTAGTTGTTCCACAGCTGAAAACCAAAGAGGCGACACCAAGTTGTTAAGCAGTTGGATACAGGGTCTCAAAAAGGCCCTGCGACATTGATGACTTTTTCAGCACACATTTCTGACGTGTTGAAAAACCCACACTTGCTAGGTGCAAACTGCTAACTAGCCGCTCATGGCTGAGTGTGTGGGCTGTGAGATCACAGGGCACAAACCCAGTAGCTTAGTTGTGCCATTTACTTAGACAGCTGGTCTGACCTCTTGCTGTGTCCAGTTTCCTCACTGAGAAAACGGGAATTTCAATGGTATTTACCGTATAGGGCTGCTGAGAGGATAAAAGGAATAAATATACACTGAGCCTTGAAGGTGGTGCAAAGGATAAGATAAGCTTGTCACTAATATTAGTGCTTATTGTAGTACCACGGGGCCACTCACTTAAGAAGAGTATAGATTTCTGACAATGTATGGCTTTTCTTATACCAAAAAACACATATGTACTAGGCAATTGAAGAAAAAAATGTTACATTTCATATTTCAAGGGTTTATGGACTACATATGTGTGGGTTTTTTTATTTTTTATTTTTTATTTTTTTGAGTTGGAGTCTCACTCTGTCGCCCAGGCTGGAGTGCAG